TGCATAATTACTTGTAATCTTGAATTTTAAGTAATATGCATCAATATACAGTACTTTATGCATAACAAAAATATATCGATATTCGTATCAAATTAATTATTTAAAATTCCTCATTTTTTGTGTAATGTTTTATTATAATTTAATTTAGGTACAATAATGAAGTAATTTATATTTAGTTTAATAATATAACATAATTTTATATTAACTAAAATTAGATCTAATAACGAAATTAACCTTTCAGAAAGCATTTTCATACCCTTTATTCATCTTGTTCATCTTACATACTCATTTTTTAATATACTTTTTAGTTTTAAAATTATACTTCATATTCTATAGTTACTTAATTAATTTATTTTTATGGTTTTGTTTTTTCTATTTTTTGTTTTATATCCTTATCACATTAAGATACATAATTATATATTAATTAAAAAATACGTTAAAATATACGTTCTAATTTTAACAAGTTACATCATTATAATCGTCTTATCAATACCTTCAAAATAAATCCAATATTGAATTTTTTTATTTAATTATATTATTATATCATATATTACTACAAAAAAATATTTTTAACACTTATACTTTATACTCTTGTAGTTAATTATGTAATTTATGGTATGTCCATTTGTTTTTCATTTTTTGTTTTATACCCTTATCACATTAACATACATAATTGTATATTAATTTAAAAATATGTTTTTCTTTTAACAAATTATACCATTATAAATTGTCTCCTCAATACCTTCGAAATTTATTAATATTGAATATTTTTTGATTTAAATTATATTATTATATGATATATATATTACAAAAGAATATTTTTATCACTTGCACTTTATACCATTATATTTATTTAATTTTTGAGTACATCCCTTACTTTTTCATTTTTCGTTTTACACTTTTATCAAATTAACATACATAATCGTATATTAAACTAAAATACGTTAAATAATATATTTTTATTTTAACAATTTACACTATTATAATCGTCTCGTCAATATCTTCAAAATAGTCTAATATTGATTTTTTTTATATTTAATTATATGACCATAATAATCTATACTATCTTATAAAACATTTGACTAAAACTCTTAAAAACTCTTAAACCCGTTCATCCCTAAACGATTTCATCCATATCCGATTTCATCCCATATCTGAATTCGTGTAACTAACTACAGATAAACACAATCAAATACAAAATAAACATCTCATTTTAAATATAAAAAATCTAAAATATAATTAGTATAATCATTATATACTAACAAAATACTTAATTATTATCTTTATAAAATTC